TCCTTCGCGACTCTCGGCTTCCCATCTAGGGTTTCATACACATCAGGTTTAGATTTCACACACATAATAATATTTTGAAATTCTAAGTGAACAACTAATGCTCCGTTTGTTTCGAGAGTTCTAGATTTCACATACATAATAATATTTTGAAATTCAAAGTGAACAACTAATGCTCCGTTTGTTTCGAGAGTTCTAGATTTCACATACATAATAATATTTTGAAATTCAAAGTGAACAACTAATGCTCCGTTTGTTTTGAGAGTTCTGACCTGGTTCTGGATCATGGTTCTTGGTTCGTTATAGTGTTTTTCTCTCATAAAAAATTTAAATTTCAAAAAGTAGAATCATGACTCATGGTTCTGAACCCATGAATCAAACGTCACCTAAAAAATGGACCATGAGGTTTATCCATAATATTCTAAAATTATATTACATACAAGTGGTCATGAATATTTTTGAACCGTCTAACTCCGATTAAATTTTTTGTTAAATTTTGGAAGAGTTGATTTTCATATATTTTCTTTTATATGCTAAAAAAAACATGCACTAGTATACTACCACACATATCTCTCTAGCTACCATAAAAACTTGCTTCATTTTACACCATCATGAAATGAAAATTTCAAAATTTCTACCATTGAAGAAAAGGGAGATTACGATTTGAGCTTATTTAGAAATTATTACCATGGAAGTAGTTCCAGAAGATGACGGAGCCCACAGTCCCCCATTCACCTTCATGTATTTCACAACCATGAATTTTGTCGCTTGAATGATTGGATATGTGGTGAGGTCTGTGCTTGAATATGTCATGAAACTTCTTGGGAGAAGCTTTGATATCTACATCTGTCTCCAGCTTTCCATATAGATCAGACGACATTTTTTTGTTTTTTTTTTTCCTTTTCTATATGATAATAGAGTAGACTAGGAACAAGAAGGATGATTTGTTGGGATAAAAAGTATTTGCACTTAACACCCTTTTATAGAAGATCATCATACGAATAAGAAATTCCCTGTAGCTTTAATTATTAATGCCATACTATTACGTGCTTGGATTAACGGGATTATTTTAAAGTGCTAATTGGACATACTATAAAATAACATTTTAGAAATAAAATATAAGATTAGTATTATTGTAGCCGTTGAACATCTAATCTCATAAAGTAAGGATATAAAATATAAATACTTAAACTTATCTTATCAAAATCATGTCATGCTTTACTGAGGTAGCGAAAGCTTAATTAAAGGAAGAACGAAACGGTAGAATAAAAGGGTAAACCAATTAACCTGTTGATTCACACATAATATCAGAAAAATTATTTTAAAAACCGTTGATTTACACACAATACTAGAATTTGGAAGAAGGAAAATTAAGAGGAAAATCTGAAATTTTATTAAAATTAGACTGGTATTCATTATAAGAGGACTCCATATAAATAGGCAAAAGAAAAGCTAAAAATTAGCCTATTCTATAATTAAAGATAATGAAAAAGTGAAATTTTCCATATTTTGAGCTGGAAACTAAAATTGAAACTACTAGACATAAAGAAAAAGAAAACGCAATCGGAGCTGGAAATTGAATTTACTCGGTCAACTTAATATGAAAACAAAAGTTACCAAAAAAACACATATGTTTCATCTAAATCCGACATGG